ACTGTGATGCATCCAGATATGTTTTTAACTTAGTAATTCTGTAAGTCTTTTCTGCACATCTTGTATGCATGTAGGCATAGTTTAGGTTAGTGTCGGTAATTCAGCAGGCCTTTTGCTCACGCATCTAGTCGAGTAAATTGCCCCAGAGTGCCGAGCCCCAGAGTGCCGAGGTACTCGAATGTAACTGCCAGACCGTCTTCCTTACGTCCTTTGTGCATTTACCTCATGTTTTTTCTGTTTGTGACCCCTTCTTTTTCTCATTTAATTTGATTCTTTTTGGCCACAGTGCCTGTGAATGGTTACATATAAGGTTGCTTTTAGAACTCGGCATATTTTGAGTGAGAGCCAAGTATGCAGATAGTCAACCACTGAGTACACTTAGTTGATATTAGGAAGGGCTTGACATTCTGCCTGCCAGGACACACTGAAGTTTATTTTCTGAAAGTGGTAGCTCTCCAGGCGCAGGAAACAATGATGCAGGGTCAGCCATGCCTTGAGTGGCGTGGGGAGTGTTCTACGCTCGACCTGTGGTCATCCTGGGAACTCCTGCTCACATCTTCAGTACTCAGATACTAACGGTAGAATCTGGGAAATCAACATGATGAAGGGACGATACCTCAGCTGGGTACGCAAAACCCTGAAGACCAATGGGCGGCGGCGCCATCGGGAAACTCACTAGTGGTGGTGGGAATGTTTCCCAGGCGCAAAGGGTAAAACACTTCCCAGCCATCACTGCGTTTGGAGACACAGTGACGTTCACCTTCTAAGAGTGGCTGATCTCCAAGAGCAGGAACAGTGACACAGGGTCACCCATGCCTTGAGTGGTGTGGGGAGTGTCCTGCGCTCGACTTTGTGCCATCCTGGAAAATCCGGCACATATCTTCCCCACTCGTATATTATGTGGTCGCGGTTATCCACCTCTTCCTCTCTTCGAATTCCCTTGGACTCTCTATATGTGGCGGTTCGCTTGGCCGTTTTCAATCATCCAATTTCTGTCGACAATATTAATGCGCCCGGCTTCAATATCTCGCCAGGATCTAAGAATTTAACACGCACTTGGACATAATTTTAGAGTTGATGTGTATCTAAGAATTTAGCACGCTCTTGGAAGTAAGTTTAGGGTTGATTTGTAATTTTTTTCCCGAATTTCCCCGTGCATCTCGAGATTTGCGGTTTATAGCTCATAGTTATTTTGCCAATAGTGTTTCGATTTAGGAAACATGCGGGTGCCTCCCTCAGTAGCAAGGATACTGTACTGTCACAGATTTGCTTTGCAATTTTTTTCTTTTTACTTTTTGGAGATTCCTCTAAGGGACACTAGACCCGTTTCCAGCAGCCAAAGCTGAGTAATGGCACAGCAAATTTGTACCCGGTTGATATGTAGGGGTGTGTTCCCGGCCCCCCGTGGTCTCATTTGGAATGAAAAGTGCTATCATAATGTTTCTCCAAAAAAAAAAAAAAAAAAAAAAACCGGCGACATCTGATGCGAGGTCGGGAGGGCGGAAAAAAAAAGGAAAAGAAAAACAAGATACCAGGTCCCGAACGGGGATGAAAAGGGACCAGATACCAACGGGAGGGCCCAGAGGGGTATCAAGTCCCAAACACGGACGAGGTTCCAAGCAGAGACAAACGGACACGAGGCCGGGACAGATGGAGATCATGTCCGGGACAAGAAGGGACCAGGTGCCAAACGGGGACAAACGGCCACGAGGTCCCACTTACCGAATCCCTTTTGATGAATATGTGGCGGCTAGATTCTAAACGGTGGGAAAGAAAGGGAAAAAAAAAGGATTCTTAACGGCGAGATCTAATCGACAAAAGTGGGGTCCCTGCGCCCGGGGCAAACTTTAAGTCTCATTAGCAATCGGATAGGATTGAACGGCCGAATCTGGACGTTCTTGTGGAGAGGTGCAGAAAATCGCGATTGATCAATGGCTTTTCTGCATCCCTGCATAAAACACATCCAGATTCAGGCGGTGAATCCCATCGTTAGTGTGACCTCGCCCCTGGCATTCACGGTCGCTCATCCTAACAGCTAGTTTACGTACATACGAAAGGACGCGGGCTGAGCTCTAACCACGCCCCCAGGCAGATCAGAGAGGGAAAAAGAGACGAAAAATTAGAAATTCTCAATTCTCGAAGAGTTCCATCAACTACAAATACCTTCACACACACACAGACACACACAAAAAGAGAGAGAGAGAGAGAGAGAGAGAGAGAGAGAGAGAGAGAGAGAGAGAGAGAG